TTAATGATGCAAAGATTTATTGCATTCTTTTAGGTTGCATTTGTTTAACTCTGTGAAGCTGTGCTACTTGCCTGTCTAAAACACCGGATGGTCTAATAAAGAGCTAAATGGCCAATAGTGAGGCAGGAAAAAGGATAGGTAGGGCTGGCAGGTAGAGAGAATAAATAGAAGGAGAAATCTGGGACAAAAAAGGAGAAGAGCAAGACAAAGGAGGAGGATACTGGGGGCCAGCCACCTAGCCACACAGCAGCCATGGAGTAAAAGTGAAAGTAAGATTTACAGAAGAAAAGGAAAAAGCCCAGAGGCAAAAGGTAGATAGGATAATTCAAAGTTAAGAAACACTGGCAAGAAACAAGCCAAGCTAAGGCCAGGCATTTATAATTAAGAATAAGCCTCTGTGTATGATTTACTTGGGAGCTGGATGGCAGGTCCCCCAAAAGAAAAAGATAAAAAACAATCAACAACATTTTGGCATTCCAATGTGGGGCTAAAGTAAAAGAAAATCCAGCTACACTCCTGTCTCCATCTCTCATGTTGCAGTAGGAACACTAGGATTGTAGATGTGTGCTGCTGTATCTAGCCTTATGCAGATTTGAGGAATATGAACACAGGTCCTCATGTTTTCATGGCAAGCACTTTGCCCACAGAACCATCTCTGCAGCCCTTTAAATGTATACTTTATCGTGTCACCTTGCAGTTTATTCAACCCACTATAGATGTAAAGGGGAAAAGTGAAGGGGGTGGCCTTTTATCATTTCCAAATACAGGACTGAGAGTCTGCAACCAAAGATAGATGAGAAATAAACTTAAACTGACTTTTCATCTATAAATTATATCAGTGAGATCTCAGTCTCTTACTATCTATAGAAGATTATCCCCCAAATAGCATTCTCAATAAATATATTTGTCAAAAACGCAAATAAAATGTACATAAATATACCCTAAACAATTCATCTTTCCTGTAGCAGCATAGGACAAATACACCCCACCCTCAGAATTGAGATAGTATTATAAAAGCAATAGAGTTAGAGTGCTGAGGAGCCTCGGTGCTGAGGGTGACATTTCCTAGGAAACTAAAACCCTCTCTGGCACAAATGTTGTGAAATCCAGTACTCCTAGATGTTGTATTCTAAATCCTACATATTTAAAAATCAAGGACTTTCCAAGTGAGTCAAAAATGAAGGCAAACACAAACAAGCAAACAAAACCAAAAGAACAAAACCACTTCCCCCTGATCCAGACCCAAAAATTTACACACCACAGGCTTCAGGAGTAAAATGCCATCAGACCTTGGCAAATAAAACCAAATCCAATGACAAAATAATCACACAGCCTACAAATTCCCAAAGCAAGTTGAAATCTTTCCACTAATACTGTATTCTGATACACCCAGGGGTTCTGTCATTGCTTTTTCTTCTTATTTTTTTTTTGTCACTACTTTAAAAATATTTTATTTAGATCATGGAAGAGAGGAAAGATCAGAGTTGTTTTATATGAATCCCCAAAATATATGACAAAAGCTATTTCAAAGATATAATATTACCTTAAAATATACTTGGTAATTAAGGCTAAATTATTAAAGTTTTGCTACATAGAATTCTTTTGGGAATGAGCAAGAATCAGTACAGAAAAGCAAAACAAAATCTACTTGAACTACCATGGGGATCACTTATAAAAGTTCATTGTCTTTTACTCACTAGAAAGCAACTAGAATAATGAAATAACACCCAGTTACAACAGGACCAATAAAATGAAATATTTCAGATTAAACTGAGCAAAGATATTAAAGCCCACATGCTGAAAACTGTAAAATGTAGACTAAGTTTAATAAAAGACCTAAATAGAGAAACAAGTTGTGTTTATGAATTAAAGCTCAAATTCAAGTTGTCAATTGTTCTCAAATTTGTATTTAGATTCCATGCATTTCCACACAAGATTTCTACAAACAAGTCTCAAAATTTGATTTAAAAATTTATATGAACAATCTATTTTAAGAATGCCAAAGTCATTTTATAAAATAATAAACAATAAAAGGGCATTATAATGTAATATAGGAATAAAGTACACCTAGTTCTAAGATGTCCTTTGGAGCTGTGATATTATATAATATTGACACCAGGACAGATACAGAAAATAGAATAATGAGTACAAAAATATGATCAAGTAATATTTTAACTAAAACATTCATCATGCTTGCGTGCACGCGTGTGCGTGTGCGTGTGTGTGTGTGTGCGCGCGCGTGTGTGTGTGTGTGTGTGTGTGTTTTACACATACTTGTGGAGTTCAGAAAACAACTTGTGAGATTGGTTCTCTTTCTACCATGTATGACCTAAGGATTGAACTCAAGTTGTCAGGCTTGGCAGCAAGCACTTTACCTGCTGGGCCATCTTGCTGGCCCAAGGCAACTGATTTTTGACAAAGCTACCAAAGCAGTTGAGAAAATTAAAGTTTTCTTCAGTAAATGCACTGAATATATCCCTATGAGTGAATTAAGTCAGACACAAATGAGTGAATACTATATTACTCCATTTCTATATTTTAGAATATAAAAAAACTCTCGTGAAAGTTAAATCATTGATTGGACCATGGCGAGGTTGAAAGGGATACAAGGAAAGGAATCTTTCAGGGGAAGATCAGACATAGTGGTGTTATGTTCATCCCTGAGACATCCAGTTCAATTGAATGCAATATATTCTGTGTGATTTACATTTCAATAAAACTGATTCCTAAAAGAGTAATGAAAACCAAAGAAACATGAATGGGTACAAGTTAACATGTTGTAATTGGCATATCCAGTGCTTCTAAACTGTTGAACAGTGAAGATGCATAGCCTTGTTCTTTAGCTAATTCAAACATCCATCACGTTTAGATCAGGATTCTGTGCTGGATTTCCTTAACACAACGACCCAGTGCTCCCACCAAAGGTAGGCTGGTTCCTGCCTAATTCCTCTCTGAGATACTAAGAAGTCTCCATAAGTGTGGTCCATGCTAATGACATTTCCTCTAGCAGCCACCAAGAGAAGACGTTCTCAACTGAGAAACACAGAGTGGGACTGGGATATATGTGCCAACCACAGACGCTCCAGGCTTTGGTCTACAATTGGGTCTGTTCTGGACCCTTGGCTGTTCTTGGGCTAACTCCTCTTTACATACACTTCTGCTGGTGAGCACATGATCAAGCCGTTTGGAGAAACAAAACTGAGGTCTATTTGGACTTCTTCTCATTAAAATTTGAAGAGCATCTGCAGAGACATTCTGATGAAATGATACAGATGACCATAAAGAAACCTGTGCATACCCAGGCCCTGTTCTTCATGACCATTTCTCACATATTCCCCACCCCATCTCTAAAGTAAACACTGCCATCTTCTTCTTTGCCCATTATGGAAACTGGTCCTCAGTGAGGCCTGGTCATTTGCCCAAATTCACCCAGCTAGTCAGTGGCACAGATGAGATTTCCATCTCTGGGATACTTAAAGTGATATGTGGTGTATTTCCATACACACAACCCTGGAGTAAATAAATGGAAAGACCTTGAGGTTCTGGCTCTGATGTTAGTCATTTTACACTACCAATAATAAAAAAAGCCATGCAGCTCAATACACAGATGACATTTTATGGGGCTTTTGCTCATCACCAAAATGTTATATTCTTCCTACTAGGCAATCAATATTTGAAAATGACTCATTTATATCTTTAGAAAGGAGACACTATACAAAACAAAGTCAGAAGCGTTCTTAGGGACTGTCTCTAAATCTGGGGAGAATTATTACTAGTTAGGAAAGAAAAAAAACAGAAATGTGCAGTATCTACAACTAACAAAAGAGCAGAGAACTAAGAAAGATTCCTGGGTAACTGGGTAGTTCCCACTATACTAAGCAATGAAACAGCTGCTTAGCCTGACTCACTGTTGATGTCAAAGAAAATCAGACACACTTCCAACTGGGACATTCCTAAATTATTTATCTAAAATACTACCACCCATGAAAATATTTTAAAAGTAGTGAAATAATAAAAAAGTGAATTGCTGGGACAATTTCTTTGTATCAAAATGATCACTAGGAGATAAAGTTAGGCAAACATCCATAAGGAAGAGAAAACATGAAAACCCATTCCCTAGCCTACCTAACCACCACTTGTTCTGCACGTCTTTGGCTAGTCAAAGTCTGAACCTCATTAATAAATTCATTGTCTCTGTTTTGATCTTCAACAACAATCTTCTCAGTCTCAGGACTCAATAATGTGGTGTCCCAGCATCTACTTCTTCAGGTCATGGAGATGGCCTAACATTCTGAGAGATTCCTAATATTTAATTCTAGTAAACACAGAACGGATATTCCTAACAATCACACACTTCAAGTAAAGCATTTATGTAGTGAGAAAGATAATTTTACCTTAAATTAAAAAACAATATGCTGTAAGTCATCTCTATCTGATATTCTCACTTCCTCCCTGTCTTGGAAATCCTATGTGTTTGTGGATTATAGGGACAACTTAATGGAGGTGGCAATGTCACCATCTGACTCCAGTAATACCTTCCTTTTCTGTGTCTGTCATGAATCCCCAGTGCAGTCACAAGTGTGACTATCCACCAAAGGGAGAGAAGGGGAGGGACAGAGCACACGCTGCCATCTGCTTTCCTCCCCCGGCATCCCTGGAAATGAAGATGGGGTGGGAGTCTGTCCTAGAGATGAGAGCGATGTGTTCCTCGTACTTGGCTCACTGAAGTGTCTTTAGGCAACATTTGGCCCTGGCACTTGAGACAGCCATAGAGGCACAGTGTAATAGGAGCATGGAGCCCAACTGTGAGATTCAACAGCCACAGAACGGGCCTGCTCAGGTCTGAAGAGGCCTGGGTGGGTGCCCTGTATAAGGATGATCTTTGCTTTCCAGTGCCCTACAGACTCATCATTTCTTGTCACCTCACACAGCCCACAGCATTTATTTGTTTGGGGACTGGCATTCACACCCCCTCAGCATTCATAAAACAAGGTACTTACAGTTGCATGACCAAGTACAGGTGATTCGGGCTCTCATAAATATCTTCCAGGGCAACAATGTTTTCATGCTTAATCCTAAAAGTGAAAAAGAAAGTACACACACAATGGTAAGGACAATTATACTTGGAAAAAAAGGTCATGACAATACCGGGGACGGCATGTAAGATAGCTGACGTGCTGCCAGCAGAGACTGAAGAAAAGGAGACCCAAAATTGTGGACCATCAACCCTCTGTGTGTTCCCATCCGGATCTTCTGCTTAGCATGCCTCTAGAGGGCCAAGGCAGAAATGCCTACATGTCCCAAGGTCATGCTTTATGGCATGCACATGTCATGTCCTCCTCCATATAAATACTTCTTGTAATACTAGTCTTTTTCTTTTATCTGATCTTCATGTTCTGTATTCCTAGATCAATGGTGATTTCTGTGATACAGGAAAGGATTGAAGTACATTTCACAGGAAATTATACAGAGATGATCACCCAAGGTGGGGTTAAGGCAGTTATGCAGGTCATGGGAAAAAACCTGCAGCCTGGGGAAGTTTTTCAGGCTTGAATAAACTGTACCAAATGTGTGGTAGCACAGTAGCACATAGTATGATGTGTTTCAACACACTGGACTCAACTTGGCCATGATGAATAATTCAGTTTCTGAGGATATTCCAAGGGCATTGTGTAAAACTTGAGACACTAAGGGGTATTGGCTTAAGACTATGGATGGAGTAACATATAGATGGGATGACAAACTAAAAGTGTGGGAACCTGGAATAGGAAGAAAATGGTGGCCTCCACCAAGAAAGGGAGATGGCAACTTTAATCCAGATATTTTTGATTCCTCCTGAAGGAATGTGGAGACAATATGGCAATTGATGGAGTGATTGTTACAAGTTTTATTGGGTTCCTAGATTAAAAAGAGCTGCCACTGGAGGGCTCCTGTTGCAAATCACCCTCTGGAGCGATGGAAGGATCTTTCTACTAGCACGTGGAGGAGACCC